TTTTTTTGGACAGGATTTCTCTGTGTAGCCCTGGCTGTCCTGAAACTCACTCTGCAGACCAGGTTGGCCTCAAACTCAGAGATCCTCCTGCTCCTGCCTCTGGAGTGTTGGAACTACAGGTGTGTGCCACCGCTGCTCGGCAGGACATTGCTTAAAGAGTAAAGGTCACTAGAAAGTTAAGTCATGGAGCAGTCAGGCTGACATTGTAAGTGTACACTAATTGCTCTGACACAGAGCCTAGAATGTTTCAGTTCTCCCCAGGAAAACCCTAGCACATAACATTGCAAGGGGAACTTCTTTTAAAAAGAGAAATTCTGAGAGAAGTGAAGTATATCAGTGTTCTCACTTCTGTTTTTGTGATTTTTGTCTTGACTTTTTTCCACTTTTCATATAATATTTTCCATAAATTTCAACATGTTGCACTTTGTTCCATGATTAATTAATGTTATTTTATTTTACTTTTTTAGAGTAACCAAAGTGAACATGAACTTTTTAAGGTAGAATAGTGGGAAAAGAACTTTTGAGAGTTGCAGAGGACCAAGGGATGAGTATTGGGATATTCCTTTTTGTATATTTAAAAAAGCAGTTCACACACACACAAAAAAGCAGTTCACATAGGCTGGACAAGGTGGCACATACCTTTAGTTCTAGTACTTGGGAGGCAGAAACAGGTGGGCCTCTGTAAGTTTGAGGTTAGCCTAGTCTATATAAAGAGTTCCAGGACATCTAGGTCTACATAATAAGACCCTGGTTTTGATTTAAATGTGGTACATAATGTAATCCACAAAATCAGGAAAAAATTGAGTTTCCTGAGATGGCTTTACCTATCAAAGCCAGCTCTGGTGTATCTGGAAATGACCTGGCACTTATGTAGTGATAACATATAAAAGCTTAATCAGTGCAGCCTTGAGGCAGGGGGAAGAGCTTGGACTTGCCTCTACTGGATGTGCCTCCCACAAGTAGACCTGGCCTATTTGTGAGGGAGAGTGGGGGTAGGCTGGGGGGTGGGAGGAGGGAAGAGGGGGATCTTTGATTGGTGTGTAAAATGAATGAAAAGATTTTCTTAATAAAAAAATAAAAGCTCGATCAATTGCCCTTCCTAGAGGGACAGGAGCCACACACTGGTCTTTACCAGTGAAGCCTGTGGCCCTTCCACCTTCGCTTAGCTTGCTGTGAGTGTGGGATACTTTCCCACAGTGTCAGCATGAGGGAGTCAGATAGGACCTAGCAATAGAGTGTAGTGCATTTACTGTCTGTCCTTGAGAGTAGCCCTGAAGGGAGGAGCTGACAGCACTAACAAGAAGCAAGATGTGGCGGCACACGCCTTTAATCCCAGCACCTGGGAGGCCTAGGCAGGCGCATCTCTGAGTTCCAGGCCTGCCTGGTCTACAAAGTGAGTTCCAGAACAGTCAGGGCGACATAGAGAAACCCTGCCTTGACAAAACAAAAATAAATAAATAAATAAATAAATAAATAAATAAATAAATAAATAAATAAATAAGAAGAAAGATGTGTAGGTAGCCTTACTGGTATTAATTAAGCTCTTATCATTGAGCTAAGACTAACAGTCTTAAAGAACAAAATAAAAGTGACCAGGGAGATGGCTCCTCAGCGGGTAGAGATGCTCACAGTGCAGGGTAGATGACCTGAGTTTAATCTTGGGAACCCATGGTGGAAGGAGACAGCCACCTCCTGAAAGCTGTCCTCTGACATCCACACACTCATTCTGATACATGTGTATGAGAGAGAGAGAGAGAGAGAGAGAGAGAGAGAGAGAGAGAGAGAGAGAGAGAGAGAGAGAGAGAGAGACTTTCCTCAAGGGTTTGAACCTGGGAGGGTCTAAATCTTGAGCAACTGGCAGCTACCACAATGGCCTCTCAAGGGAGTCAAAAGTGTCAGAGCTGGAGAGGTCAGGGTTCAGGTGATAACATTTGAATTGCGAATCAATTGGTGCCTACAGATAGTCAGCCCTAGTTTTGTATATATAAATATATTGTGTTATGTATTTTTTGTGTTTTTTCTTCCTTAAACTAGCTTATGTTTTCTTTCATTGTTTGTGACCAAAGGAGTCTCTTCGCATCAAGGAAGGCATGAGAAATGTTTCCTTCAATGAACAGTCTTAATTGGGAAAGCATCTCTACATGAATCCCCCTGATTTTCCAACTCTTCTGTGAAGGTGATAAAGCAGGTGTTTTTCTTCCCTCACACAGGGAAGGCACTGAGGGCTTAATGAAGTTGGTATCCATAGGAAGATGGAATCAAATGTCAGGATAAAAATCCTTTCATTTTGAGTCTGGTTCCAGAGTTTCTTTGCACCAATAACATACTAAATTAAACTTCAATAATGTTGAACTAAATTACTCTAAAGTACCCCTGGAAATAGACTCTTGGAGTCATAATTCATGCTGGGTAATTACAAAATAACTTTCTTCTCATTATTTCCCTACTTACATACCTCTGAGGGAAGACACGGTGACAAATGTCAGAGTTGGGACAATTTAGATAATTATTTGGATGTCTGGCTAATGGACATTTCTCATAGTGACTACAACCTGCCTGCTTTTAGGTTTTGCTTGACAATTAACAAAAACAGAGACTGTCCATTTCATGTCTCCCACAAGTCAAATTTGTTAGTAAAGATAATGACAGGGGGATGGCTTAGTGGATAAAAGCACTTGATGACAAGCTTGGCAAACTGGGTTTGATCATAGAAATCTATTTAAAAAACCTAAGATGTAGAGGCATGAGTCTATGTCCCCAGCAAGGGGAGAGGAACAGATAGGAGACTAGCCTGAAAGCTCTGAGGAAAGCTAGCCTTAAGTATGTAGTGTAGCAGCAGAAACGACGAGAGACTTTGTCTCAACATGGTGGAAAGCGAGAACAATTCCAAAAAATTGTTCTCTGATCTTCACATATGCACACACACACACACACACACACACACACACACACACACACACACACACGAGTAAATAAAAAGAAAATTATTGAGGGCCTTCCTTATGCTATTCCACATTTTTGGAATGATTTCTTCATTGCACCTATCTCCTGTCCACTCTTTGGGTCTTGGGTTCTATACTATCTATGTATAATAGTCTCACTTCACAAGGAATAGTTCTTAGCTCTCTACTATCCTCAATTTTGTGCATCTTAGCCTGTGTTCTATTTTTCACATTTCTCACAACTAAAAATTTCCTTAAAATGCTCTTTCTTTATCATTAAATGCTTATAAGTATGCATGCCTCATCTTTGTATCTCTGACACCTAATTCAATGCCTGGTGTGTTCTCAATAAATATTTTGTTCTCTATAAATATGTGTCGGTTGAATAGATGATGGAAAGAGTGACTTATCCGAGAGTATCTTAGAAAAGGTAGCCTGTGAGCCATGGGAAACTTAGAGAAGAATCAGAGTTGGAGAGTTTAGCTTGATGGCTTTCTTAACTAAGGATGGATTGGGTAGAGGGAGATTAATTCTGAGAAACAATGATCATTTTCAGGAACACAACACTGGACAAGAGAATCAGAATGCCAAGTACCAAACCCATGGGCTTAGAGAAAAAAAAAAGGGGAGACAAGGCAGAAGACAGGGATGGCTGGAAAAGAGGAGAGCTGCGTAGAAACTACATTCTAAAAGCCAGTACAGAGTGGGGCTCATGGAGAAGAGGGAGGGGTCAACACTGGTTTTCTGTACCTCTGTGAGGTGCACCTGATTCACGCCTAGCTCGCTTTTCCGATTATTTATACCCTGATTGCAGCAGTTGGCAGGTTTCCAAGTGGCAGTGTGATTTTTGTTTTCTGTCTGTAATTCTCACCTCTCCAGCTTTAGCAGGCACTAGTCCTCTGACCTTGCTGGTGAAGGTGGCACCTCCCATTTTAGCAGCGCTTGCAAATGTCAGCTGAGATGCTTCATGTTCTCTCCACTGAGTCTTTAGAATCGTCGCTGGGTTGGGGGCTGTGAAGACGGCTCAGAGGGTAAAGAGCTCACATGCAAACACGAGGAACTGAGTTTGGATCTAGTAACCAATGTGAAAGCTGGACACGGCAGCTTGTGCCTGTAACGGTTGCTAGTTTGGAGTGCTTGTCCTAGGACCAGCATGTTCTAGCTTTTAACACGTGGTCATTTAACTGAATCTTCCCTTGAGTCCCATCAGGACTTTAATATTGGCTCCATCTTACAGGCGGGACAACGGAGGCTCGGAGAGATATGATGGCTTCCTGAAGTCATCATGGAATAGACATCATTGAGGACATGGGTTGGCAGCTGAGGAAGAGCTTTCTCCATGACCCCATTGGGTTGGTGGAAGTTCTGAGCCACCCAGGGTACCTGATGGGGACTTTGTCTGTCACTGTAATAGGCTAATGAATCTCTGGTCCTGTACTTAAATACTGGAGAGAGACAGACTGAAAAAAAAAATACAAGTTTATAGTTAACGCAGCTCAGGGCTGCAGGTGGGGGCGAGGAACTTCCACTCAATGGTTTAGTTTCTTGAAGGAAAAAGAGAGGGTTTCTCTATTGAATATTCAAACGAAATTCAAGCCAGGAGGAGAAAACAGTTTTAAACAGGATTTAGCAGTTCTTTGTCATTTTTCAGCGAGAACGATGTTTTTGTCTTTTATCGAAAATTAAGCGGGGGCAGGGGGATTTCTTCTGTGACTAGGCTGAGGGATTTCCGGTATCCACCCCAGGGCTGCCTGCTCTCCCTAGTCACATCCCAGTCCCTGCCAGGGCAGATGAAGGGCAATCAATGAAGCAGCAGGCGAACAGCATGAATAGGGAGCAGATGAAAGCTTCCCTCCCAGGCTCTTTTCTGAGAGAAAATGCAGCTAGACCACATAAAACAACATCCGAGGAAGCTGAGGGCTTGCCGTGGATGAGGTTGGGCCCATCACCTCCCACTCCTTGAGCTCCATTCGGCGTGTCTGACGTCATAGTGAGGCTGGGCTCTGATGGGGAGGTGCGATAGAGTCTGGTTCACTCGGTTCTGCTGTCCCATCCCGCTTCCTCCTTAGCAAGAGGAAGCACTGGTTCAGTAGCTGGAACCCAGTCTGCACCCAGGAGTCTGGTTTTCATCACACTTGCTGTCCTTCATCCCTTGGCTCTGCTTACTTCCTTGTGGGGAGGCTTGGCAGTGACGCTAGGCATTGCTGTCTCAGCTGCTCATGCTGTCCAGTTCTTTAAGCTGCTAGAAGCGCCCTGTGCCACAGAAAAGCAGGCCCCCCACGCGTGTGGCCTCCTCCTGGATCCCCTTTGCCTTCAGCTGCGCAAGCTGCTCCTCAGTTTCCCGTTCTGATGCCGTTGACCTTGCTCTACTGCTGATGTTTAGAGGCCTTCAAGAGGGGACCTGGTAGCTTCTTGGCTATGGTTTCCTCAGCCTGGTTTCCCAGACCTTGGCAATGGCTCCTGTGAACCAACAACATCTCTCTGTATAGGAGTGGAGGTCTCTTGATAGGAAACTATTAAACCCACAAACACATTCTATTCTGCAGCACCCTGTACTTTTGCTTTTACAGGACTTGCTGGTCTTGTAAATGCTGGCTTGGTACTTATTATTCTTAATATTCTGTGTTTTTGTTTTTGGCAGTACTGGAATTGAACCTATGGCCTCATGTATGCTAGACAAGTGTTCTTCCACTGAGCCATAGCCTCAACTCTTATTTTTCCTCAATCCTCTGAGACCACCATAGGAATAGCAATGAGAACTGGGATCTACTGCTCTCACAATGCGTACTAGGCTCTATACACCCTACTGAATCAAAAGACATTACAATGAATTAGGTGTTGCCATTACTTTGGCACTGGAAGGGCAGAGTAAGAGGCAGTAAGTGTTGAGGGCAAGTAGAAGGCTGGGGGTTGGGTATCTGTGACTGAATGGACTGGATGCATAGATGGATGACCCCTGTGTCCCCACTTTCCTTTTTGAGATAGGGTGTCACTATTTCGCACAGCATTTTTTGAAACCTGTTCTCCTCCTGTTTCTGTCTCCTGGGTGCTGGAAGTTTGTCAGCAGGTGGAATGTGTCCTTTGTATTTGGGGGATCTAGTGGGTAGACTGGAGATGGATGTGCTGGGAAGGTGCAGTGGCCGGAGAAGGGACTGCTGGGAATGGATTCAGACAAGCAACGAGGAAGAATCTTTATCAGTAAGAACTCTTTAAATTAGCTGCTTGGGTGTTTGTCTGTGGCTAGAGAAAAACTTGGTCTGAGTGCTGGAGAGGGGACTTAAGCCTCAAGTGGAGCTCAGGCAAGGTGGCCTTTAAGCTGTCTTCCAACTGAAACAGTCTCGGTTGCTTTATAAACCTTAAAGAAACTATAAAGCCTTCTGCAAATATGCAGCAGCCCAGCCCCGGTGCTCCGCTGTTATTAAAAGCAGTTGAGTGGATGTTTATGCTGGAGCCATAAATGCCAACCTCAGTAAAGCCTTAAGCCCTCTGGGGATTAGTATCAGTGTTCAGTCATCTAGGATTCGCATTAACAACCATTGGTATTTATGGAGTGCTTACTATATATCAACCAGGCTTGTAAATTCTATGCATGCATAAACTCAATTTTCATAACAAACCTTCACGATCATAGTATATTAGTCGGGCAAAGCTGCAATAACAAAGTGACCCGAGTCCTCGGTCGCTTAACACAGTCAAAGCTTATTTTCTTTCTTTCTTTCTTTTTTTAAAGTGCAAAAGGGTTGGGTTATTTTTTTTTAACCCTTCCTGCCTGAAACATGAGGCCTGTAAGGATGCTATGGTAATGGAAAAGACAGCGGGGTGAGGTCCTGGGTGGAGCAAGGGCTCATATGCCTACTGTGGTAGCCCAGTGGGAGTAGAAAGCCTGCCATGAAGTAAGGACAGATCAAACGGTAACGGTAACAGTAATGATGCTCCTGAGAGCCTTAGAGAGGGCAGGCAGGAGTCCAGAAGTGGGAAGGGCAAGAAGGGTGTTTTCCACCAATACACCAGCTAAGCCCTTTGTGCCGGGAGTCCTCTCTGCTCCTCTCAAGTTCAGTCTAGAGTAAGTTGAGAGGCCGTTCTCACCAACATGTGTTCCCATCTCCTCAGAGATGGCAATGTGCTAGGCATTCTGGTTCTCTCCCCCCTTATTTATCTGTATATTATTTTTATGCATCTGTCTGTCTGTCTGCGTTGAGGCTAGAGGCAGTCTCAAATCCTTGATGCCTGGCCACCTTGCCTGGCCTTTGTTAGAACGCAGGGTTGTGTGATTTAGTGGTGCGTCTGCTGTCCCAGACAGCCTCCTCTGTCCATGTGCTCTGTGTGTCTGGCCTCCAGACAGCCAGGCTTTACTTCTTATTTCTCATACTCGCAAGTTATGTCTTCCTTCCCTTCTCTCCCTTATGCCTGGGTCTGTATGAACCAAGCATATGAGAGATGGGGAAGGCATGCATATTTATTCAGGAACATTTTTGCAGAAGGACCGCAGGCTTTGCTTGTGGTCAGACTGACTCTGCTGTTTCCTGATAAGTGATATTAGCCAAATTACTCATGTCTCAGTTTTCTTATCTGTAAAGTGGGGATAATTAAATCACTGAATTCAGAGGATCAAGAAGATTAAGTGAAACAATCCTCATAGACTGAAAAGAGCAGTAGCCAGCATTTTATGTATGATAACAAAAACATTTATTATCATTATTCTAACCCAAATCTGCCACTGAAACTTCTGATTTCCCACTCCATTGTGCATTGTCAAGTATTGCCTTGATGTAAAGCCTGGAAAGATTAGCTGATTTTTTCTCTGCATTCTGATATGTTTGCAGGGAATTCTGGAGAAGCGTACTTTTAGGAGGCTTTACTGAGAAACATAGCAGGTAGTCAGATGGTAATGACTGAAAACAAGGCCCCCTCTGTCTACAAGAACAACTGAGTGGCATTCGGGTGTATAATAAGATAAAATACACATCTGGAGACATCATATGTGATCCAAGTGGAAGGAGAGCCTCGTGGATTCTTGCCAGAGGGTATGAGATTAGCGAGGACAGCAAAAGCAGACCCTTGTAAGAGGTTTTGTTTCCTACCTGTCAACCTGGAAGTTCAGCATCATCTTTTTCTCCCAAGGCTGTCCTTCAGAGCACAGAAAGGAGGTCACCTCCTGATGATATCTTCTTGTGGTTTATGCTCCCAAGGGTGTCTCCCATTACTCAGTGACTCACAGGCATTACTGAAAATCTCATAATGGTCTCTGTGGGGAAGGACAGTGTCTTAGTGCTGGAGCTTTCCCCTGAGAACCATTCATCTCTTTGTCTACTTCCTGAGAAGGTGAGGTAGATCTAGTGGTGGTAGTTCTCATATCTCAGTTGCCTAGAAACAATTATTTCCCAGAATCACCCTCTAAATCTTCACAGTATATTAATCTTGCACTGTCATAAGTCTGGCTTGACGGAGGAACGATTTCTAGTATTTCTCTTTGATCTCTGAGGAATACAGGGAGGACAGTTGTTTCCTTTTCTTAGAGTGGGCACATGTTTTAGCCCAGCTGAACAGATACTTCCTCTCCAGGGCTTTGAACCCTGTGACTGGAGTTGTGGGCATGGTTTGGTAAGGAGTAGAAGACTGAGCTGTAGTTAGGGACAAGTGCAGGCATGGTTTTCTCCACTGAGGCTACTTCCTACTTTTATTTGCATTCCAGATAAAAGTATGAGAGGTACTGAGGTGAAGGATGGAGGAGAGATGGTCACAGAGTGCAGGTCTCTCCAGAACAAAGTGTTGTACATTCTGGTTTGTGAGTATAAGCTGGTGTTAAACATACCTACTGTCTAGACTCTTGCTTGAACTGGTCCATACACTCCAACATTCTAGCAACCAGATCCAACCCCTTAGAATGCTTCTTGCTCCCCAAAGTGGCTTCCAGATCCTTTGTAGGAATGTGGACTCTAATTCAGAATAAAAAAAAAAATCAAGTCTCCACAGTAGAGCCTGTGAAGGAGGGACTAAGAGCTGGGATTTACCTGTCTTCAGGCTATCTGGGCCCAGGTCATCTGAGCTCAAGTCCAGACATCTGTTTACAGGAGAAGGAAGGATAACCCTGGTTTCTATATGGCAATTATGAACATGTCTATAATCACCTAACTCATCCTCGACTCTCTTAACAGTACGTATCATGCTGCTAATAGAAGGGGAGGGGCTAAATTACCCAAACCAGATTCTTCAGGAATTTCTCATGGGAGTTCTTCAAGCTCAAGTCTGGTAGTGAGATGACAGTGTCTATCAAGGACTCCAAAACATTCCTGTCCCTCCATGTGGAATCATATACTCTTTCTGTTGAAGTTTTTGTGTTTCCACTGTTTGTTTTCTGGTCATCTGAGCTCAAGGGAAGAAGCTGTAACTTCCCTTTTAAGCTAAGGCTTCCCTGAGCTCAGGCCACTGTCTTTAAGACTGAACGCTTCCAAGAGAGCCAATCATAGCCCTAGCTACTTATTCTCCTGATTGTTCTCTTTATACCTGAGTCTCTAGGCCACTCTTAGGTTGACAGGGTGGATGTGAGGAACTGGTCCACAGAGTGAGCAGATAATGCTGAGGCTTAAGTCATTGTTGTACTCTGGGGTTACATAGACCTGAGGGTGGAACTCCTGACATGATACCATGATGTGTGTATTGTGTAATGCGATCCCCTAAACTCCTTGGCTCCTGGTTAATGAAATAGATATACGAAGGTATGGGCAGTGGGACTGGAGGAGAGGGAGGAAAGAAGGGGCTACACACATAGACACACATGGTGGGAGCTCTTTCACTGATTTATATGTCAGTTGGAGGCTTAGTATCGTGAAATAATTGGGAAAAATTAGAGGGTGAGTAAATTACAGACTCAGATTTTTCTGGCTTCATTCATATCACAGCTCTGTCCAAGGATATGGGCCATGACTAAGTCAAACTTTAGGTCTGCATTTATTAAAGGGGCTTATATTATCATTATCATTATTATTATTACTATTGTTGTTGTTGTTAAATGAGGATTCGATGTTTTCCTGCTTCATAGGCTAACATGAAAATCACTCAAGGGACAGTAAGTTAGCTTGTCAAAGTCCTCCTTCCTTCCCTCCCCAACTCTTGCCACTTTTTTCTTTTTTCTTTTTGCAATCAGAGATTCAGAACAAAGGGTGAGGCTTCTGAGATGCTCATCTAATCATTTTTTTCTTCTCC